CATGCTCCGGTCTCAGAGCCAAGGGAACTTCCCAGGTAGCACCCTTGATAGAGAAGCTTAGGTCTAATGTAAAAAACACAGAAATATAAAAAATTTTAAAAAGTGGTAAGTGGGCTGCACTTCCTGAAGGCAGTAGACTCCAGTCTGCCATTGCAGAGAGAAGCATGGAGTGAGCCACGCAGGGTGTTAACAACACACGGCATTAGGGGCAAATGCTTGAAAAGAGAATGACCACAGTGGACCACAGAATGGGCACTCACCTGGAATGGAAGGGCCAGGGTAGAGGGGTGTGGAGAAGATGCCGAGAGCTCGGGGCTAGCTAGGACCTCCTTAAAGTATATCACCTGCACAGAGATAGTACAACCTTAATGCATCACTGAGTGAGTCAGACGCAAGGCCCTAGCCTGAGTGGGAGGAGATGGGGACAGAACCCTCCGTGATCACCTGTGATCTGACACAAGCACACAGGCTTGTGCAGATAACAGGATTGATAATTTTAAATCAGGGCTCGCCTGCAATATACAGAAGTAAAACCTATGCAAATAATCTAAATGATAAATCAAAAAGTAAATTCCATGAGAGATGTGAAATTTTAAGGGCCACAAAGCCTAGAAAGAGACAGAGAATCCATCTGGATGAGGGGCAATTGTGGGTCTTGAAATGAGTATGGGGTGGTGTGGTCCAGTGGCAAGAACACTTAATTGGCCACCAGGTGCCCGGAGAGTGGACAGCAGAGGGTGCCCAGCATGGATGGCATCGTCTAGCCCCATGCTACTCAAACCGTGGGCCAGCAGCATCAGCATCCCCTGGGAGCTTGTCAGAAATGCAGAGTGTCAGGCCCCACACCAGGCCTGCTGAAACAGAACTTTCAGATCAACGAGTTCTCCAGAGATTCCCATTCATGATAAAGTAGGAGGCTGCTGCTCCAGCACAGTAATCTCAACCCCGGCTGCATGTTAGAATGGCCTGGGTAATTCTGAAAAATGGCAATGCGCTGTCTCCACCCACAAAAGATGTTGATTTGATTGGCGTGGGGTAGGACCTGGACATTGGTATTTTTAAAAAACGTTCCACGTGGTTCATATGTTCAGAGAAATAGGAAAAGAATCCTTGAGGACTGCAGAGTTTGGGTTCACATCAATACCCCCAAGAGTGAGCCCCGCTGGTCCCAGTGAGTGCTCTGCAGGGCAAGGCCTGTCCAGGCCAGGCGGAGTAGAAGGAAGTGAGGGATGCAGTCTCATCTCCGAGAGGAAGATGGTCAGTATGCAGCTAAGAATGGGGCCACCTGGGCAGAAGCAGGGATGAGTCCAAATCTAAGAATTGACTGGACTGCAGTGGTTCTCAAATTGGAGCACGCAGCAAAATCACCTGGAAGGCTTGTTAAGACACACCTTGTTGGACCCCACCCCCACAACTTCTGATTTGATCCATCTTGGGTGGGGTTAAGAATTTGCCTGGGAATTTATTTAGACCCAAGGACACATGCTGCGGGATGGTGGGCAGGTCATTTATATCTTCTTGGCCTCAGAGTCCTCACTGAAAAAATGTTTGGTCTAGACCAGGGTTTGTCAACCTCAAAACTATTGATGCTTTGGGCTGATAATTCTTTGTTGTGAAGATCTGTCCTGTGCATTGCAGGATGTTGAGCATCCCTGGCCTCTACCCACTAGCTGCCAGCAGCAACCTCCCCCCTTTTTGTGACAACAAAAATGTCTCCGGACATGGCCGTATGTCCCCTGGGGGCGAGGGGGGCAAACTCATTCCCAGTTCAGAACACTGGTTCCTACATAGCTTTCCATTTTTAATTGTTTGCTTTTTTAAAAAATTGGTGGCAAAAGCATCTTTTATTATTTTGTGGAAACTATGTCTCTAATTTATAACAAATGTGATTATTTTCAGAGCAAGACAGATTACTCTGAAAATGTATGTATTTGATGAGAATCTAGTATACGGCTGGCACGGTGCTCCTTCTGGTACCAGAAGGTTTGGGGGAAAAGGCTAAAAGCATGTGCTTTGGTACCGGATTGCCTGGTTTTAACTTGGGTCGCCCCACTAACCAATTGTTGGGTATCAGGCAAGTTTCTTTTTCTCTTTGTCTGTTTTAACTGTTTGTTCTGAATCAATTTCAGATTTATAGAAAAGTTGTAAAAATAGTAATAGTATAGACTTTCCACATTTCCCTCCCTTACCTTCCCCTAATGCTAACATCTTATGTAAACATAGGACAGTTTCTTTACTGCCTTCTGCCTCAGTTTCCTCATCCGCAAAATGAGGATTTAAGACCACCCATCTCATAAAACTGTTGAAAGCACTGAATGGAATAATTCACATAAAATACTCAGAATAGCACCTGGCACATATCAAGTGCTCCAAAATGTCACTTATTATTTTTTGTCATTTCCTGTGGCTTTAAAGCCTCTAAAACAATGAGTCTTTAATGGAGAAACAGATTCCAATGGGTGAGGTGTACCTGGCAGCCTTAGCTGTCAGTCCGGCCTAGCTGTGTGTGTACCTGCACCTGGCTGGGCTTGCACGTCATCCTTACTTTCCCAGTCCACCTGCTCCTCTCCCCTCCTACCTCCCGGCATACAGGACCTGGACTTTTCCAAGGCCTCCTGGGCCCTGGTCACGGCTGCATTCCAGTGGTTTGTTCCCTGGACCTCAGCTGCTGCTAAAGCAATGGGGAAATTCTCTTGTCCTGTACAAGCCAAGCTAACCGAAATTTCTATGGGCACCGATGCTCCAACATTAACTGCATCTTCAAGTCTGTTCCACACTCTCTCTCAAGGGCCCCTTTACAGAATTTTACACAAAAGCACAGATGCCTCCAATCCAAAAGTGCATCACAAATTCTTGCTGAGCGTGAAGTTTGTGGGCTTCGGTGTTTCGAGAGAGAATGCTGAGTCAGAATGAACAGCAGAAAGGGTCCCGGGCGCTTGCCGTAGTCTTCACCCTAAGACAGCAGAGTAACTTGTAAACACTGATTAAACTTGCTCTCCCGCTCTCTAACAAGGCGAGTGCTCTGTGGATTTGATAAATGGGAGGACTGAGGATGAGGGAGAGAACCGGCCTTCAGTAGTCACATCACCTGCAGCGTGGTGAAGGCGGGGAGAGGCTGCAGGGCAGAGCTGCCGGTCTGGACTGTGAGCCCCACGCAAACCGGCAGCGCTTGATCTGTTTGGCTGGTGTCCTAGGGGCTGAAGCCGCTGCTGCCAGGATGACATTGATATTCTGCACATAGAAAAGAATTTTCAGTTTCAAACTAATTGCTGTGAGCTGAAATGCATTCAGTCGTTAGCACTTCACTTCGGGAAGGGAGCTGAATCCTAATCGTAGAACTGTCATGCGTCCTGGCAAACTGCATGCACTGGAGACAGCTGTGCCCAGCAGTGGATGGCTCAGCTGCTCCTTCCCCTGCTGTAACCACCGTCTCTCACACACACTACCCTGCAGCCCCATCTCCGCAGAGCTAGGCTCCCCTTGGCTGTGCTGGCACCCAGGACTTTTGAATGCTGGCTCATTCAAAACCTTGCACTGGCCCCAGCTTTCGGGTTTTGCTTCCGAGGATGCTGAGAGGCTGGAAATTCCCAGAGACACTCAGGGGCCCGGCTGAACAAGGGCACGGGCTAGCCTGCAAGTGTGCACCTTTTGTCTAGCTCCTGTTGCTAATCATTTTTGCACATGTGTTCTCAAAGCACCAAGTATGAAAATAAATGGTTGAATTTCACTTTTGCCTCTCCTCCCACTGCTATAGAGTGATCTAGAGTATAGACCTGACTTGTCAAGCTCTAGGTCCAGATTGCATTTAAGAAAAA